ATGTATGTATGTATGTATGTATGTATGTATGTATGTATGTATGTATGTATGTATGTATGTATATAGGTGTATAGGTGTATAGGTGTATAGGTGTATATGATGTATATATGTATATATGTATATATGTATATATGTATATATTGAATTCTGTTCACACATGTATATATATGTGTGTGTGTTGTATTTGTGCTGATAAATAAATAAAGGGAGACTAGTATATCTATTTCAAGATATTTGGGCATACCAGGGGTTGTGACTTTAAATATATATATCTATTTGTTGTATTTGTGCTGATAAGGACAGAGAATGGAAGTAGTGATCTTCCTCCCATATTTGGGCATACCGGGGGTTGTAACTCTAAATATATATGTATTGTATGCATAAGAGATAATGGTAAAAAATTTTAAAAAGCCTTTTTAAAATCACAATTAGGTATCCAATAGTTAAAACAGCAAAAATCCATTAAAAATTCTAGAATAGATACCAGAATTCTGAAACATGTTTCACATGTGTAGGATGATTAATTAAAGGACAAAATTGACATAGAGCTGTTCTGTAATTGTTTGAACAAAAATGGCAGTAATTAAATAGGATTATTACTCAGTCTTTGATTTAAAGATTACCTGCCTTTGATCCTCCTTTGAAATACGCCGCAAGCCAAGAGAATCTTTTTCTAATGGATTTTCTACTAATCTCATTTTTCGGTGTATGGTTAAAGCTTGTTTCTCTGCCAACCTGTTTTGAGTAAGTCAGATAAAATCTCATATATGACCTTTGAAATATTTCCATCAATTAGACAATCAAACCACTCACTTCCCTCCTTTAGACATATTAAACAATGACTTGAAATGCAAATACTAAATATTGAAACCTAAGTATTAACTAAAATTATTAGCTTAGTTGATCAAGAATTGTCAAGGTTAGCTATTCTAAAACTTAGCTGGCTCAATACATTTTCAACTGAATATTGATTCAAAATCATTTCACATTTCCTTACCTTAATTCTCTGAAATAAGGGTGTTGCAGTGCTTCATGAGCACAGATTCTCTCATCAGGATCATACTGTATCATTGCATACATAAGTGTCAGGCTCTTATTGGACAAGTTAGGGATAAATGGAGAAATTCCTTTTCCTTTTCTTGTGGGGAAATCAAAACTCATCACTCTTGACCTGCATAAATCCAGTGAAGAAAATGGATTCCTGTCAACAGAGTCAGCCTTATTCTTACTGAAAGAATACAAAATAAATTAAAATAGAAGTTTCAGTTTCAAAACATTATTTGCCCCTGTAGTCAGTCATATAGGGCAAATTACATGTGTATGACTACGTTATGAAATGATTACAATTTAATGCTTCTCAAATTTAGAACACAAATATGATTGGGCCAACTGGTATTATGGTGCCATGACATCACAGTGGTTTTCTTTAAATCCATTTGATACTATCCTCGCTTCAACATGGGAAGTCAAAAGTAATTTTAAAATTTGCTTCTATGCATGCAGGTGATAACTGTTGAACTGGGATAAAAGGAACATTTAATAATAAACATCCCTTAAAAAGTTATTCAGTAAAGCTAATTAAGTCTATAAAGCATCAGCCCAAATAAGGGACAACACTTATAATCTTAGTTTATTTTGAAAAACTGAACAGAGTTGTTCAATACTTGGGTAAACCACCAATAAGAAATATCAGGTCTGCAGGCAGGACTGGGAAATCCCTTGCATCACATTACCAAGAAAATTATTTATGCTTGACTCAAAAAATTAACAGAATTCAAGCTCTAGTGTATTGAATGTTTACTGAACGCCACAGATATATAGAAGAAATTACAGTAATTTATAGCAAAGGGGGCTTCCTATAGCTTTCAAATTCTATGACACTTGCAAAAAGTGCTAGAAGCACTCGCCAAGGGAACAGTAATATAAAACAATCTTAATACATTATGAAAAGAGGACATGAAAATAACATGGTTGTGACTGTGGTTCTGAATTCTGAGAAGTAGACCAGAGGTGGGTTATTCCCGGTTCGGCCTGGATTGGGTGAACCAGTAGTGGTGATGGCAGGAGGCTCTGGCCACCCAGCTGGTCACTTCTGTGCATGCGCAGAAGCGTCATGCGCACACAAATAAACCGGTAGTAAAAATAATGGAAACCCACCACTGAAGTAGACTCTGGCTATATGCTTTGTAAGATTTGACTATGGTCAGCTGTAAGGTAATAAACACACTCTTCTAATATAGTTTTAGGCAACCTCACTTAAACAAAATGCAGTCATGAATATCAAGGGAAACTATACTTACTGTTTGAACTTATGAAGAATCTTCTTAGGAGGGGTACCTATGATATCGTGGATTTTTGATATTTGGTCCAATTCATTCGATCCAGGAAAAAGCGGGTGGAAACTGGGAACAATAAAGAATTGCTAATGTGATGAATACCAATCTCTGACAAGCTTATGTTTTTATTATGAGAAAGCTGTTCATCCTCGGTACTAAATAATAACATTACAGCAGATAGTATTTTTAAAATCAAATACATTATCATTAATCCCATTCCCCACCTGTGTATTATATAACATCTTTCAAAATAAAAAGGAAAAAAGCATCAAAAGGGACAAGTGTTATTGAAAAATGTTATCTGTACAATCCAGCCTGTAGCTACCTAAGAACATAAATATTTCATCAGCAAGAAATGAACTATTTGTTGCTAAAGCCTATAATCCCCCAAATTCAATATAATATGCACATGGTATGGCTTTGCCTCAAGGGTCCTACTTAGAGATGTGTTTACTATTGTCTGTGGCTAGATAATATAGCCATTCTTGAAGCCTGGATATCACATTAGGACTCTCATCTAAACTTCAAATTATTTTTCCTTTATTCATTAAGGCAGTGTTTCTCAACCTTGGCAACTTGAAGATGTCCGGACTTCAACTCCCAGAATTCCCCAGCCAGCATTCGCTGGCTGGGGAATTCTGGGAGTTGAAGTCCAGACATCTTCAAGTTGCCAAGGTTGAGAAACACTGCATTAAGGTGCTGATGTTCATTTTTCTAACCATTGACTAAATCCAGATATACAGAAGCAGGGCTGCTGTACTATACACATTTATGTTAAGATGAATCACAAACCCTTCAGTTAAAACAATGAAGTTCTATGCCGGATAAGAACACAATAATTAGCAAACCGTGACAAATACCCAAATCTTTCTTATTGAGATAGATTTAAGTCTATCTTCAAAGTGTTAAATGACTTTCCCTGTGCCATTATGCAATTCATCGACTAGCAATGCAGACATTTAAGCTGGAATTTTCTCCATGTATGTTTCACTGTTGAACCAAAGTTATATTTGTATTTTTCCATAATGCAGCCTATTACTATCTCATATCCGCACACGCTTACACTTCAGAAGAATTTCTTTATTCTTTTTAATTTAGCCACTTTCCTTCTGATAAATAATTTACCTTGCAATTTCATAAAACACACAGCCAGCACTCCAGATGTCCATTTTATAAGTGTAGTAACCATCTGTAAGAAGACATTCAGGTGCCCTATACCAGCGGGTAGAAATATATTCTGTATATGGCTGCTTAGAATGTATGCTCCTACAGGATCCAAAATCTCCAAGCTTGAGAAGATCTTGCTACAATAAGACAATTTGTGCATCTCAAATGATCAGGCATTAAAATGATATTTACAAATAGCTATAAAAAATACTTCAAGATGAAATTAAGGAATCTTTATCCATCTCAGCTGTTCTATTTTTGAACAGAAAAGACTTGATATTTTTTTTTGCGGTCTAAATTATCTGTAATTGATTTTTTTAAAATCCTTGGCCACAAAGCAGCCTTTGGAATAATTGTGAAAATAACATGTAGGTAGTCCCAGATGCTTTTCCAAAAGGCAACTGGACTTCCTTAATTTTTCTTTGAAAATGTTTCACTTCTCATGCAAGGAGTTTCTTCAGTTCTGCGTGAGAAGGGAAATGATTTTAAAGAAAAAAAAACCCTCCAAGAAAGTCCAGTTGCCTTTTGGAAAAGCACCTTTGGAACAACCATAATCTGGATGACTGAGAATCTCCATAAACATACATGTAGGTAGTTCTTTGTTAAAGATCATTTATTCAGCAACCATTTGAAGTTGCAATGACTCCGAATAAATGGTACTTATGACTGGTCCTCAAAATTCCAGGAACACATTACCTCCATGGCCATGTGATTAGATCTATGCACACCAGCCTGCATGCATTACTCTGACACAGTAGCAATTTCTTCCCAACTCAAATCCAGTCACCACAGCAAACCTCCTCCCAATCCATAGTACTCACCTGCCCTCCAGCCTGCTTGCAAGCTGCCTGGAACTTGCAACTTTCAGTCTCCTTCCTCATTGACTGTCTGTGCAAGCTGGCAGGAAGTTGCAAGTCATGGTTACATGAAATCCTCACTTAATGATAGCCCAAGAGAATGCTGGGATGCTGTTGCTAAATGACCAGTCATTGTGTCATGTTTCATAACTGCAGCATTTAGCGATGGAAATTCTGGTCTCAATTACCATCAAATCTTTAAACATTAAGTCTTCAGAGAATTGCTAGCACAAGTTATTTAAGAAAAATCAAATTTGATTTTTTACAGCCTGTTTCAAAAATGACTGACTTGTCCAAAAACATATTTTTTCCATGAATAAAAAAAAAAACTGATGCTAAAAAGCAAGACAACATTAGATCTAAAGCAAGTAATTGACAGTTAATCATCAGAAAGTTGAAATGTATTTTTTCCTATAGACATAGGATGCATATTCAAATACCAGTCCTAGAACAAACATTTTGAAACGTAAGAATTTTGGTACATTCATATTGCTCCTGTTTTAAAATTATCAAAGACAACCTACCTTTATTAATATGTTTTCAGGTTTCACATCTCTGTGAAATATTCCATTTCTGCATCAAGATAAAAATCAAAGGAAAGGTAAGTATTTTTATATTAAGGCTGTGGTGCAGAAAGTCACATATCCCTTGGGAGTACTCGAGCCCACTCCTTAGTTTTAATATAAGTTGTTGCACCCATCCCCCCAAAAAATATCCATAAAGTTCTGAAGATATTCCCGAGAAGAGGTGACAACTAGAAAAGAAAAGCTAGTCAAAGCCCATGGCATCTTTATATACATTAGATACATGAATGAAAGTCTACAGATTCCAGCCCATTTAAATACCCAAACTCTTATTTGCAAGCAAATAAGTGAAAAAAGCTTTCCTACCTGTGTATATGATCAAGCGATTTGCATAACTGGTACATATAATTTGTTAGTTTCTTTTCAGGCAATGGGTTTTTCCTTCCTGAAATTTGGAAAACAAGTTTAGTAGGTTTTTTAAAAAAAATAAAGATCGCTTTAGTATAAAAACAGCTTGCAATGATTTTGACTAATTAACTGATTTTTAAATCTAGTTATGAAATAGCTTATCTATACCTATAACCATGTCCTCTAACTTAGCCAGGATATTCAAAGCTGCTCTGTTCAGAGCACCTAAAAAGACAGAACTGACTACTGGACTCATATCTTAATCACTGTTAAGCTTAGATTCCTACAATGTGTCCTCTATAAGGCTACCTTTAAAAATAATTTGCAGTTCACAACTGATATGAAACACAGTAGGCTAGGATGCCTTTTAGACTATATGCTACTAGTTATATATCAGTTGCAATGGCTTTCTATTGTAATCTGAAAAATTTAGAACAGAACTCAAGCTTTTATATTTCGTGCAGTGATTAATTTTGAATCATGAGTATTTGGAAGCAGAATAAACCCTCATTTTATATACAACTGCTATAACAGAGATAGCAATTTTGTATCACAATGAAGTAGTAGCTTTCCAGTTATTGATATACAATTGTCATCTTTGACAGACTGTTCATGCTGCCTTGGCTTTGGTTGATGATAGACATGGGGCATAGATTTAACAATTCTTAATACAGCAAATATATGCAGTGATTAATGAACTATGTTCTCCTTCTTAAATTTTCTTGCAGACTGGCCCCTCTTTAGGATAACATTCTCTTTCAATATATATAATTATGGAGATACTTTCCCTATATTCCAAAGCCTCTCTCTGCCTTAACTTATTCTGAAGGAGATCAACTGCCACCAGAAAGAGATTCTATGTACATCCACCCTATTCTGAAGGTTTTTCCATAACTGCAAGTAAAACACATCTTTTTTCAACACGCAACAGAGTCTTGCTTAATATTTGGTTAAACTAAACATGCATCTGTCTCACTTGTGAAAAAAATTGCTTGAGACATTTTATTGTACATGCTACATACCTTTGATCAATTCATAAATATTCATGTCCATAAGTTCACATATTAATGCAACAGCACCAGCTTTCTTGTCACTAAAAAGTGGATTTTAATGGAATTATATGAAAGAAGAATAAGTTGTATAAGCACTTAAAGAATGGGACAGATTTCTCAATTATTTTTTTAAAAGTGGTTCTACTATTATTAGTTTTCTGTATTTTTCATTAGTTTTTACATATGCACGGAAGAAGCAGTGTACGTTAAATAGAGCAGTAATGCCATTCTAGAGATGAGCAAGCTTTTTATCATGCATACTGACTCAAAATTTCTGAAGAAGAAAGGGAAAATCAAGTTCATTTCGCAATCTCATCTTTCATGATTCTGAAAAATATTTTATCGGAGAAGGCTTATAAGGATGACTATCTTTAAAAATCATCTTCCTCATTAAAATTGTTTACCAACTTCCCTAGCATTTGTTTTACAGAAAATCAGAAATCAAATGTTCTAGACAACAAGGGTTTCCCGGAGATTCATACTCATGCAGCTTTGCTACACTGCTCAATCAGTCAAAAAAATGTCTAATAAATGGACTACTGAATGATAATTGTGGGGAGGAAAATCATCCCTCTTTATCAGCATGATAGTAATAATGGGGATAATTGCACTTGATTTACAAATTGCTCATCCTTATGTACATGATAATCAAAAGTAAATCCATGCTGTACCTGCATATATTTTATTTAATTAGAACCAACATTATTTAAAAAGCAAAACATTAACATTTTTTTTGCCTGCCACAATCAGCTATAGTTAGATTTTAAGTAAGCAACAGAATAACTTATGAACAGACAGATATGCCTTATAACATCAGATCATAATCCATCTTGACCAATTCTGTGGTCTCAGATGGGGATCTTTCTGAGCTCTGGAACTTGACAAATAACTGTAACTGGACAAGTCAAAATTAAACCTGATACAATTCTACTTGCTGTTAGTGAACTACAATTTTCTGCAATAGAAGCGGAAATTACCTTGCTCTATGAAAGACTTTCTCCCTGAGAACTGGATATAGACATCTGCAAGATTCTGTTGCTTTTATCAAAATGATGAAAGCAGTTCCACAAGATCTGCTCTTTTTGAATATGCATGCAACAATGTGACATATATACAAAAGGGCCAAGGGTTTGTCTCAGTGTTGCTTTTGTTCTCCCCCCCCCACCTGCTGCCACAGAAGTCACCGAACCTTGGTATTATGTGCCTTCAAAAATTTATCTTTTTTAAAATACAAATATCTATATTATATTTTCTCTCTTCAGAAATGGTTAAATAGAACAGTTGTCTGGCAAAATGTGTAGTGAGGATTTTTGAGGATTGTGAGATTTCTTTTTCATAATAACAAAATACATTAGCATGTTCAGAATATTCCTTATTATCAACTGATCATCTCCATTAGGCAGATGACCAGATATGATTTTTCATAGGACATAATGAACAGAATATGTGTCATCCTCAAGTAATTCCCCCCTTGCAAAATCTCAAATCAGTACCTACGGGAATGAGATTGGATTCTACATATTGCCATTTAAACACTTCAATTCTTGAGCCCCTGCATTTTTCTTGTGCTTCTGCCTCGATACCATTAGTATTGTCAGAGGCCAATTATGAACATAGAATAAAACTAATGTGATTTTTAAAGTCTTTATAGATTGCCAGATCAGTCCTGAGATTGATGTATGTCACATGCTGTCAATAGAACAAAATGATGGCTCAATGACTACATAAATTCATATTAACTTCCAAAGTTAAGTAGTCCACACAACCTACTCCCTACTTGCTGTCAACTTGAGAAAAGGTGCAAGAAATGACAAAATCTCATCATTCTATAGTGAAAGGTTCCTCTTTCAAAATAATCAGAATGAGATTTGTTTGATAAATAGTAATTGAATACTTCTATAAAATATCTGGGAGTCAATATGAACGGTACAGAATGGGAATCAAAAAAGCATGCATGACTTACAAAATCACTTCATGCAATGTAAGGATATTTGGATGTGGATTCAATCGCCTTAATGCTTGAATTTCTCTCAGGTTATTCACATGGTCAATGCTAGTAGAAAAGATTAGATGAAAAATAAACAACTATCATTTACACGTCGTTGCATATATTTTCCTGAATCCCACAAAGCATAGGGTATAATAGTTTCTTGCAGCATGTTGCCAGATGCCTGGGTGCGGTGTGACATTTCATGGCTCTCTTCTGTATGAGTACTGTATGAGATACTACTTGCAAAATGCCATGTTTTCTTACATAGTGGCATATAAAATGGTATAGTACACACTTCCCTGTCATTGAAACATTATGAGCTCTTGAGAAGGAAATTTCAAATGCTGTATTTGCTCTACACTGTAGGGTATGCTAGCATCAAGAATTACTAGTCTGAACACACATTACTTAAGGCCAATAAGACATGTCAGGAAAAACAATCTTGATGTCCAAAGGCAGCTAGATTTTACATACACATTTACAAAAAATATTTATTTTAAAATCAACTTTTGACAATGGAGATTTAAACAAAATATTTATATACTGAAGCTAAACAAGAAATTAAAATGGAAAAGAATCAGACTTTACCTTTCAAAATGCTGTTTCATTTGTTTACAAGCATAGCAACGTCCATTGTTTAGACTCTGTACCTTCAGAACATCAGAAAATGTTCCCTCTCCAATTTTACCAATTGTTTTGTATTCTAAAAAAATTACATTGGGACAATAAACTAAAAGGTAAATTTATATATTTAAATTCTGCTTCATCAAACATGTTCATAATTGTAGTTTACTTATTCTAACAGCAAACTTGTTTCCTCACCAGATATACTGTATGTTTCCCCATATTGTCACTGTAGTTGTTTAAATTAAGGTTCACATCTCTGCACTGGAAAAGAATTATACCAGTGCAATTTATTGAGAATTATATGAGAATTTCTATTTGTGTTTGCTAAAATAACATTTAAGCGTTTTTTTCATCAACTACATCTCACATACTTATGGTCTTGCGCAGAGGTGGGTTGCTCCTGGTTCGACCCGGATCGGGTGAACCAGTAATAGTGGCGACGGTAGGTTCTGCCCACCCACCTGTACGCTTCTGCGCATGCGCAAAAGTGTCATATGAGCNGCCCCCCAGGAACACTCTGCAGGCCTCCCAAATGGGGCATGTAGAGAGTTTGAAAGGCCTGCACAGTGGTCCTGGGGGCTGCGGAGGGCAAAAATGAGCAAAAAAGGTTTGTTTTTTGCTCATTTTTACCCAGGAGCACTTTACAGGCCTCCCAAACCCTCCGCGTGCCCATTTTTGCAAAAAACAGAATGCGCGGGGGCAGGATTTTGGGAGGCCAAAAGGCTGTATACAGTGTATAAGACGCACCTAGATTTTCAACCTTTTTTCGGGAGGGGGGGGAGGTGTGTCTTATACTCTGAAAAATATGTACTCACTCTGGGCTCACATACACAAAAAGGAGAAAGAGAGGCCACCTCCAGCATAGGTGAAAGCTTTGATCTGCTGTGATAGGGAATATCAAATGGTGGGATCCAGAGGGTAGCAGCATATAAAACTTGCATTTATGCTTTCCATTGGCAACTTATACCAGATCACGTCTTCAATCACATCTCTATTGAATCCTACTTCTTTCCTCCATTCAGCTGACTCATTGAGTCATCTGTCTATACCTGGATGGCAACTTCCACCAACCCTAATATCATGGCTATTTGCCAGTTGGCTAAGGATGATGGGATGCAAGAAAAGCTCTGAAATGCTGAACAACCAATGGAAAAGGGCATATGCAATTGGAAGGAAAGGCCCCCCACTTTCAAATCGGGATTAGCTAGATATATCTTAAGGCAGGGGTGTCAGATCCAGTCAGAGGGACTGTCCTGGAAAATGTAAGGGGCTGTCCCATGTTGCTTTGGCCCGGACAACCTGCATTGCTTTGGCTCTGTCTACCCAATGCAAAGAGGAAACATTCTAGCAGTTTGGGGGGTGGCGTCAAGCTGGCCATGCCCACCCAGCTGGCCACACCCAGTGAGTGGCATCAAGCTAGCCATGCCCACCCAGCCACCCAAAGTCAACTACAGCCCTGATGTGGCCCTCAATGAAATTGAGTTTGACACCCAATGATTATATATGTATACTTTTTTGTTCTCTCTTTTAAAAAAAGGAGAAAGATATATGTTAAAATTAAATATGTATATTGAAAAGGAATTATAAATACCATTAACAAAATGGAGTTCGCTCAGAAGCTGAAATATACCAAGTAAATGAGATGAAGAGTATCAAGTAGAGGAGAGAGGTAAGGGAAT